GCTGATCTTGCTCTTGGTCTTTTTGGCCTTAAGGTACTAGTAGGACTAGCCTGTGTTGACTGACTGTGTTTTGTTGGGCTACTACCAGGTGATACTGCATTTTGTGTGGTACCAATAGGACGACCTAAACTCTGAGATCTAGTGTATTCGTCTATATTAGCAGCTTCTCCACTTGGTTTTACCATATTAAAACAAACATTAGGCGCAGAACTGGAACGATCTTGTTGTCCCAAAGAACGTGGATGCCTTTGACTTCTTGATGGAGCAAGAGATGGAGACATGCTTCTACTTAATCCATATCCAGAAGGAAGTTGTAATATTCCAGCAGTACTTTCAAGATTATGTGCTAGCAATGCTTGATAATAAGCATCTTGCATACGTACTTGGTGGCATAAAGCAGGTACACCACCAGCACATCTTTGATGAAACCGATAATTGCAAGTTCTACAATAAAATCCCTGAAAAAGGAGTTTTCTACAACATTCACAAAATGCTAGTGAGAAGAAAGTCTTGCGCACAAAATTATGAGAAATGGAAGTAGTTATTGGAAACTTATCCAAAATTTCCACAGATATTTCATCGCAATCAAGCAATGAGATGTCGGTATCCCAAGAAGTAAGATATCTGGAGTTGTCCGCACCCAAAATATATACCACACACATTTCTGTAGTTAAATTCCGTAATTTCATTGCTTTGGCAAGTGCATCTCTTAATGAAAGTCCTTCACGAACCTGTACACTTGTACGTTGTTGATTAGGTAAATATGCCCTGAGCAGAGATTTCATTGGCGTTCTTTGACCTCTAATAGATGCATTAGCATCACGAGATTCACTCTCTGATGTGGAAGCACTACCAGATACTCGACCAGCATTCAACAATTCATTGAGCTTCTGTTCCTTAGATTCTAAATCATGCAACTTGCTAGTTAATTCTTGATACTCATTCAAATATATCGAAGGTGGATGTTGAAATCCAGCAAAACGATTGTTCAGAGCGTCAATGTTTTGTCGAGTAACGTGTATCACATTTTGTATATTTCTCAGCTCATACCTTAATGGATCTGTATCCAAATAACCGTCCTCGGAATCGCTGAGTTCTCCCGATTCCGGGCCGCTACCTCGTGAAGAGGACATAGCTAACTATACAAAGTGTAGCTTTTTCCTCTATCGACGAGGACGGGAAGATAACGTCGAGGACGAAAAGGACGGCGACGTAGTCGTCGCTGCCTCGAACTTACGACACGAAAATTCCGTGTACGCGTTCACACGGACCGCCGTGGCGCCACGCAGAGGCGCGGGGCTATGTTTCTTGAAGCGTCGGTGCTGCCAGTCTCTGCGTACAATCTTCCGCCCCCCTCCAACTAATTTTCTTCCTCTTCCTCTGTTTAAATTCTACCTGTTTACTTGTACAATTTCTTCACAATTTTTTCATTAATATTATTTTCTTTTTTTCCCTTTTTATTTTTAAATTTTTATTTCATATTGTTTTATATTTAAAGTAGTTTATAAAATTTTTTAATCATAAATGTTCATTAAAAAATCCAATAATTAGTACATCAAAATACAAATTTATGATGAAACGATTTAATTTTTAAAATTATTTTAAAATAACGCATTATATAGTATTGCATTTACATTATAAATATTTTCATGTTTTTATAAATTTAATTTTTATTGCAATATTTTTGTTAGTATATTCGATTAATATGATAAAACTATTCTATTTAATAGTTATGGAAATAAATCTATATTAATATTAATAATAATATAAAACAAAATCTTTCTTTACCATCTCTTTAAAAAACAACTATATTTGGAATAAGTCTATAATTCAAGTTCAATTTTTCTGTAAACATAGCTACTCGCATTGCGTTCCTGACGTCACTGCAGGCTAGTGCAGACGTACTTTGACGTCAGCAACATATAGTACGGTTACCTAGGCAACAGAAGTTCTAATTGGTTCAATGTTTAATAATTATTGTTATTATTATATATAAATATTCAAAAATTTGTCACTATAGCTTTTAAATCAATAAAGATAATAAAAAATAATAATCTTTTATTTATTCTTTTATAAATTAAACTTTACTTTACTGAATATTTTTTTTTAAATTCTTTTTACATCTTTCAATAATATTTATATATATAGATTACAAAAATTAAATTTTAATATTAGGAATTCATAAGATTATTGATTATAAATAAATAAAATTATGATATTTTATAAATAATTTTCGTTGCTATTATGATTCTACTAACAATCCGTCCAATCAGGAGAGCCTTTTGCCCATTGGTGATGTCATGTATGCTTTATTAGCTTGTCATAAATGAGATATAACTATGTATCCAATATCCTGAAATACCGATTGCGCAAAAAATCAGGCTGTTTGAAATGCTTCCTTTAGAGAAATTATATTCAATTCAATCACAATAAAAGTAGATTTTAAAAATAATTTCTTTAGTTACTTTTTCCATGAATTGTATATATGAGATTCATAGATCTTATGATTAAAAATCTGGTAAAAAATAAAAAATTTTATTATTAAAATTATATGAAAATTGCAAGCATTTTTTATTTTTATTTTTCTTTTTGAGTGATTTTCAATTATCTTTATTATATTATATCTTTATTATACGAAATAAGGAATAATTAACATTAGAAAACTAATTTTATATTTATCGTGAAATTGATAAATTTCTATTAGAATATCTACTTATTAAAATATATAAAAAATATATAAAATCCCATTAAAATATATAAAATATTTTATTTCTGTATATATGAAAATTGGATCAAACTAGAGTTTATGAAAATTTTTTATCTCTTAAAATTTTTAATTAATAAATTCAAAGAAGACAAAAATAAATCGAATATCGGAGTCGTCTTTTGAATATAATTTTGCAGAGCAAATATAGAAAAGTAAAATAAAGAGTAAGAGCAAAATAATAGGAGAAAGATAGAGAAAGAATAAAAATTGGAGAATCAACGCCATCTTTAGAGTATAAATAAAATATAAAAAGAACATAAATAATGAAAAATAGAAAATTAACCTTCAGGGCCATCTCTTAAATATCAAAGACACTTCTCCTATATTTTTTCAGATAAATAAAAATTGATAATTAGCATCATCTCTTAGTATTTTTAAAAATACATTTTCAATATTTAAAGAAATAGTTATTTATAATATTCAAAAGATGGCGCCAAAAGTTAATTCTTATTTATCTTTCATTATTTGCTATCCTTCTTTTTGTGTTCCATTTGCGGCACTTTATAAATGCTGATATCCGAATTTTTACACAATCTCTATCCATCTCTTATTATTTGCTATTTGTATATATGAGATTCATAGATCTTATGATTAAAAATCTAGGTAAAAATAAAAAATTTTATTATTAAAATTATATGAAAATTGCAAGCATTTTTTATTTTTATTTTTCTTTTTGAGTGATTTTCAATTATCTTTATTATATTATATCTTTATTATACGAAATAAGGAATAATTAACATTAGAAAACTAATTTTATATTTATCGTGAAATTGATAAATTTCTATTAGAATATCTACTTATTAAAATATATAAAAAATATATAAAATCCCATTAAAATATATAAAATATTTTATTTCTGTATATATGAAAATTGGATCAAACTAGAGTTTATGAAAATTTTTTATCTCTTAAAATTTTTAATTAATAAATTCAAAGAAGACAAAAATAAATCGAATATCGGAGTCGTCTTTTGAATATAATTTTGCAGAGCAAATATAGAAAAGTAAAATAAAGAGTAAGAGCAAAATAATAGGAGAAAGATAGAGAAAGAATAAAAATTGGAGAATCAACGCCATCTTTAGAGTATAAATAAAATATAAAAAGAACATAAATAATGAAAAATAGAAAATTAACCTTCAGGGCCATCTCTTAAATATCAAAGACACTTCTCCTATATTTTTTCAGATAAATAAAAATTGATAATTAGCATCATCTCTTAGTATTTTTAAAAATACATTTTCAATATTTAAAGAAATAGTTATTTATAATATTCAAAAGATGGCGCCAAAAGTTAATTCTTATTTATCTTTCATTATTTGCTATCCTTTCTTTTGTGTTCCATTTGCGGCACTTTATAAATGCTGATATCCGAATTTTTACACAATCTCTATCCATCTCTTATTATTTGCTATTCTTTCTTTTTGTATTTTATTTACAGCACACTAGAAGTTAAGAATTAATCTTCAACGCCATCTTTTGAATGCTAAAGATAACTATTTCTTTAAATAATTAAAAATATCTTTCTAAAAATGCTAAGAGATGGCGCCAGAAGTTAATTCTTATCTATCTCTATCCTTCTTTCGTTATTTGCTATCCTTCCTTTTTGTGTTTCATTTGCGGCACTCTATAGATGGCGCTGATTTCCGAATTTTTACACTATCTCTATCCTTCTCTTATTATTTGCTATCCTTTCTTTTTGTATTTTATTTACAGCACACTAGAAGTTAAGAATTAATCTTCAGCGCCATCTTTTGAATGCTAAAGATAACTATTTCTTTAAATAATTAAAAATATCTTTCTAAAAATGCTAAGAGATGGCGCCAGAAGTTAATTCTTACCTATCTCTATCCTTCTTTCGTTATTTGCTATCCTTCCTTTTTGTGTTTCATTTGCGGCACTCTATAGATGGCGCTGATTTCCGAATTTTTACACTATCTCTATCCTTTTCTCTCTATACTCTTTATCTATTTCTATTTTACAAAATTATATTAGAAGATAGTTTTCATGTTTGAAGTACTTTATTATTTTTTTCATCTAACTTAATAATTAAAAATCTTAATAGATTCTTTTCCAATTTTATATGTTATATTATAAATATATATATATATATATTTATTTTTATTTAAATATATGTGTATATATATATATTTAAAAACAAAATTCAACGATGACGTTAAGATGACGTTAAATAAATTCTTATCTTATCTTTGTTCATTTCCCACTATTTGCTTTTCATGTTTTATATAAGACATTTTAGAGATAATTTTTCAATTTTTGTTCTATTTTTGTCATTCCTCTACTATTTGTTCTTATGTTATATATTATTGAAAGACAAAAAAAATATAAAAATAAAATAATTTGATTAAGTGAAATTTAATTTCTTTACATTGTATAATAAAATCAAATTATTAGTACTTTATAATTTAAATTTATAATTTATCTATTGGATATTGTACTAATCTTTTTCAAAAAATGGTAGCTGGAAAAATAGCTTTTGTAACAGGTATTTGTATAAAAAAATTAATTAAAGATTAAAGGAAAATTTATATTTATGATAAATATTTTTTACTAGATTTATTACAATTATAGGTGCTGGAAGCGGTATAGGTAGAAAAGTATGCCATATTTTGGCAAAACAAGGGGCTAGTGTTATTGCTACCGATCTAAACTTAAAAAATGCTGAAGAAACTATCAGATCTTTAAATGGTTTAAATACAAAATATTATTTTTTTATTATATGCTAATATAAATAATAATATAATAAAATTTATATAATAATTTTTAGATACCAAACATTTAGCATTAAATGTAGAAGTTTTAAATGAAAAAAGTATTAAAGAAGCATTTAAAAATGCAATAAATAAATATTCAACTCCACCAACTATTATAGTTAATTCTGCTGGCATTACAAGTGATCAATTCATTTTGAAACTTACTAATGAAGATTTTGATAAAGTACTTAATGTGAATTTAAAAGGAACTTTTTTTATAATCCAAACAGCAGTAAAAGAAATGATTAATGCTAATGTAAATAAAGGTGGTTCAATTGTTAATATAAGTTCTATTGTTGGAAAAATAGGAAACATGGGACAAGCCAATTATGCTGCATCAAAAGCTGGAGTAATAGCTCTTACAAAAACTGCTTCTATCGAATTTGGACAGTAAGAACAAAATAATATTTGTATAATATTTTGTTCAATAATTATAAATTTATAATATTATCAATCATATTGTAGATTTGGAATTCGTGTTAATACTGTGCTACCAGGTTTTATAGAAACTCCTATGACAAAAACTATACCTGATAATGTAAAACAATTATTTATAAAAAGAATTCCTCTTCATAGAATGGGAAAACCAGAAGAAGTAGCAGAAGTTATCACATTTTTAGCATCTTCCAAGAGTTCTTACATTAATGGTGCATCCATAGATGTTACAGGAGGATTACATTAAACTTGCTTAAAACTATATGAAAACTACATATATATATACATATATATTTTTTATATTTTTATAATTAAATTTAAAACACATTTAAATAGATTATATATAATATATATAATTATATATAATATAATTACAAATATTACTTAAAATATTGATTTGAAATATGTATATGCTCATTATACCTTATACATATACATATATTATTTTTTTTTCCCCTTAAGTTTCTTTGCATGTTTATGAGCTTTATAATGCAATCTTCTTTTCTCATCAATGATTTCCTTATATTTACGTTTATTGTATTTAGAAAATTGAGCATCAGTCATAAGTTCATCCACAATTGTTTTCTTACGTTCTTTTTTAGTAAGACGTCCAGAATAATAATCCAAATGTGAATCAATAACTTTACCAATTTGGAAATATCGTGGTAATGTTTTAAGATCATTCTTTTTGTAAAATCGTTTAGGATCTAATACTGATCTCATTCTTATAACTTGAAGATCATGTTTAACTTCTGGTGTTAATTCAGGAGCACCCATATTAAACCAATCTTTGCCCTTAGTTTTACTACGTTCCTTACGTCTTTTAGCTTTTAATAATTTTGTACTAAGCTCATAAGGAGGTACAGCTTCTAACTTTTCAAAACCAGATTGAATAATACTTTTTTCAAGTATTTTATCTACTGCTGTCAATTCTTGTGTTAAATGAGTTACATCTTGACTAGATATTGGATTGCTTTTCTTTCTTATATTCGACCAACCCATATCTTTCTCAAATTCGTCAAGGTCGATATCTTTAGTTACATTACGAACTATCTTTTTTGTTGTAACTTCATTTTTAATTAAATCTTCCTCTATGTCAAAAAATTTGAGTGCCTGCGTACCTGTCAAATTAATATATATAAAAAATTAATATATATATTGTCGTATATTTTTAACTTCTATAACCTCTATAACTATTATAGTGAAACGTAAACTTAACGTAAACTTAATTACCATGATTTTCAAAATCTAAATCATCATCATTTTCTATCAAACGATCTTTCTTTATCAAATCTTCATCACCTTTCGTATCAATTATTATATCCATTATTAGTTAATTTTAATAATTAAAAAAGAACTAGTTTCTCAATATTTCTCACGTGTTTGATATGACAATACTTTAAAACTTCGTTTCAAATTAAAGAACTGTGTTATTTTTTTTTTTTCTATATGAAAAAAAAAAAGAAAAATGAAACAAGGAAATATTAAAGAAAATCTAATATATTATAAAATATTAATAAATTCTTGTGCAAATCTACATCAAATATAATGTAGAGTATATTACTCTAAATAAATATTATAATTATTTAATTATAAATCAGAAATATAAAATAACAATAATATAATAATTTTTGAATATTTATAATTATACTTTTATAAAATGTTACTATATATATATTTTATCTGTAATTTTGATCAAATAACTAGATTACCGATCGGACATAGTTATTTCATTTCTAAATATACCGTTAGATTTCGACTCCTTGAACTGTTATATTCCTTTCTATTTTCATTTTATTTTTCCCCACTTCTTTTCACTTTTCATTTCTTTCTTCCCCTTTCACTTGTTTCTGTTAGAGAAAGTGTTTCTCACTTTGTAAGAATAAAATTTAGTGATACTAACTATTATTATTTATATATTATATATATATTATATATTAGTTATATTTATATATTAATGTTTTACAAAGATTTCAAAATATTTTTCAAACGATATTATTCTTTGAATTAACCAACTGTTTCATTGTTTATTATTTTATTTTTCAAAGTATCTTACCAGAATTTTGTTTTTTGTATTTATGAAAAGATTACTTATTAATAAATAAATTACTATTTTTTTAAATAGTAAAGATATTATTTATTACTTTAATTTCTTAATAATATTATATTATTCATGATTATGAAATAATAATATATTGTTACATATGCATAACGTAGTATTATCCATTATATACAAAAAACTTGGAAAAAATTAAACTTAAACTTGTATGAAATATGCTTATCTTAAAACGCAGAAAAATGACCGTGAGTATTTCCTGTATACATAGACAACACATTTCTGTAATTGAAACTTTAGTTTTACTTATTCGAATAATATTTCTATTAATAATTTATATATTTTTTAATATATATATAACATTTATTTTATATATAACATTAAAAAACATTACAGTTTTTAGAAAACGAATCTTTTTCAAACTCTTTTTTTCTAAAATTTATTGCTCTTTTTGTATTTTATCTTGAATTAAATTCGTTTCAGAATATAAATAATATACAAGGATTTAGCTAAAATATTATAATGAGATTATCTTAATGAGGATATATTTTTCGTTTAAATTTTATAACGAAAAATGATTTTATAACGATGATCAATAACAGAGAAATCCATTTAAAAAAGAAGATCAATAATTAGAAGAGATTTTTTATCAAATTTTAAACTTTCAATCAAAAACCATAAATTTAAATTTCATAAAATTCAAATATCTTTGATATAATTTAAGAAATTTTATTCTGAAAAAAAAATAAATTTGATTTGTTTAAATCAATTTCATTTTCAGATAATACTTGTAAATATGCAACAGAAATATAAATGTTTTCATTATTACGTGTTAAAAAAAACAAGTTTTTAAAATTATGCATTTATCTACAATGAAGATAATCATGAATAAATTGCAAATTTTTATGAAACTAAAATATATGTAAATATACAAATATTTAAATATACAATTAATATATAGAAAATATATTACATTACATAATTAAATTATATTTCAAGTTATATACATATAAAATAGAGTGTTCCAAGAAAAAAATCGAATAATTTTGATTACAAGATAATTTTATATACATTTATCTATTCGTTTTTAATTTATTTAAGAAAATAGATATTTTATATATAACTAAAATATCTTTTCTAAATTTTTATGAAGATTTTTTTTTTTCAATTATTTTTCATGCATTTTTTATTTTTTTTTATTCGGTTAAAGAAGATGTTAAAAATAAATATTCTCCTTCCATAAAATATATAAAAATCTATTTATATAAATATATATAAATTATATATAAATCCATAAAATATATATAAATCTATTTAAAATTTCAACAATCATTGTTCATTCTAATAATTTCATTTATGGATTTCATTATAGACTGTTCTTGCAAATATTATTATTTATATTAATTTAGTCATTTAATTTATTTAAAATTAATAAAAAATAGAAACAATACGCCATATAATAGCATTAGAAATGAAATTATTAAAATTATATATAGAAAAACGTTGATTAAAGATCCGATTAGATTTATTTGGAAGGAATTTTGAATATCTCCTTTCGATGAATAAAAAATACAAAAAATTATATCTATTCCAGTTATCCAGTTTTAAAAATCTATTTTTTAAAATGAATTTTAATTTCTCATAGATCTCACTTGTTATGCAAACTTCAATATAAGTAATTATCATGGTCAAAGTTTCGATTAATATTCTATAAAGACATAACAAAGAACAACGAACACGTGCAAAATATTGCAACAATAAAAATGTGAGTATACTTAAAAAATAAGTTATTGCAATTCGTAACTGTTTATGTCTGTTTTCCACGTGACTCGCGTTTTAATGACACGTGCCACGAATATAATTTAGTGTTGTTCATGTTAATGACTTTCTCAACGAAAATATAACTTTCGTCTAAGCAAGTCCATAAACGATTGCATCGATTGATTACAGTTATAAGAAGATTTATTGATAGTTTCCTAGTCATTATGGTTTTTGGAGGAGTTGAATAGGATTAACAACGCAAATTATAGGAAGGATGACAGTAAAACTTTTAATAATGATAAAAAAAAAAAAGAAAACGAATTTCAGCACGGTTGAGCAGCCAATGATGGCATTTGACGAAAGTTCTGCATCGGAGAAAGAGAAATAATCCTCTAATAATATGAAATTTCTTAGTGAAACTTCTGAAATAAACTTTGTCGTTGATTTCAGGCGAAATCATGCAAAACTTTA